ACCACCAGAACAGCTCCTTGTTCTATGGCATAGAGTGCCCCCCTCTTTCCTCCCCTCCTGCCACTTCACTACATTGCCCCAGGCCAGGGCTCCGGTCCCCAGGAAGAGCTATAACTTGGCTCTCCAAGGTTCGCCCTGATTTTGGTGGGTGCCAGGGCAAAGAGCCCTGGAGAGGAGAAAACGAAAGGATGGGGATAAAGATGGGAAAAGATGATGACATCCGGCAGTGCTGGTGAGAGACAGGCAGGCTGGGGCAGACTGTCAGTGTCATTGGGGATGCTATTAAGAGCATTCATGAGGCAGCATGCATGTCTGGAGTCCCATCTGACTGGCATCATTCATTCCTGTTCCTGTTCCATTCATTCTGGAAGGGGAGCCTTAATTAGGCGTGAAGAGATTTATCAAACAGCAGCCCCTTGGAGCTGGTAGTCTCTTTGCCATCTGGACGGATGGTTTCTACCTTGTGACAACAGCAGTGGGAATGATTTATGAGGTCCCACAGCTCCACCCCCTGGGCCTGGTAAAACCTGAATGGCTTTTGTCCTCTCCAAAAAAGAGCGAGATTTTGCCTGTGCTGATGGGCTCATGAGCGGGGGTTCGCAGTAAGGTTTGCCCGACTCTGTGAAGTTGATGCCCAGACCCGTGGCAGCCAGGACCTTGCCTAGGCTCAGTTTTCAATTTACAGTGACCCAGCTGCAAGGATGAACAGAAAAAGCCCTGGAGTGGGGACCAGAAGACCTGGATGCAAATTCTTTTGGTGAGCTATGGGGCTTCATGTGTTTTTCGCCTCAGTCTTATGACTTATACAATGGGGATAATGATTTCTGCATCTTCCTAACTCACGTGATTCTCTGGAAGTTCCTGTGACACTATAAGACACAAAATGACTTTCTTAATTATACAACCCTTGATAGGCATTGAGGATTTAATCCAACAAACATTTATTGAGCAATTGCTGTGTGCTATGCACCACCCCTGGTGCTGTGACGGACATGGATGAATAAAACACAGTCCCTGCCCTTGGCGAGCTTACAATCTAAGAACGGTCATAAGACAAGTGCACAATAACTATAATACAAGGCAGAATACGGTAAGTGCCATGAGAAAGGTACAAATAAAGTGCTACGGTGGTTCAGCGGAGGGAGAGATCCCAGTGGTTGGTAGATCGGGAGGGGGCTTCATGAAAGATGTGGTTTCTGCATGGGCCTTGAAAGAACCAGGAGAGAGTGTTTCAGGGGATGAGAACAGCAAGACCAAAGGCACAGAGACAGGAAAACCGGGCACCCCTTCCAGGAATGACGGCTACTCTAGATGGACTGGTACAAGGTGTAAAGGAAGGATGGGGCTTTACTGGATGGTCTGTAACGTCAGGACGAAGACTTGCACATTATTTTAAAAGTTTGTGAATGGCTGGAGATAAAAAAAAAAAATCTCTATGAATGTTTAGGATGGACTGGAGAACATGCAAGTGTGCCCAGAGGAAATCTGGGAGAGGAGACTGCTGCTGAAATTGAGAGACCAGAAGACAAGGATAGTGCAAGAGTAGCAAGGGAATGCATGGAGAAGACATGAAGATGACTTTAGGGTCTCAGAATTGGGGGGTTGAGAGGATCATGGGTCTTCTAACAGTAAAAGGAGAGATTGTAGAGGAAGGGGAGGCAGAGATGATACACTTGGCTTCAGAGATGTTGAGTTTCCGGTGCTGCCGGAGCAGATGGGGTGAATGACCAACGAGCAGTGTGCAGTCGAGCCTGGAGCTCAGGGGAGGCGCTAGGCTGCCGGAAGTGTAGGATGCCTCCGAAGGAAGGCGGGAGGTTGCTGATGAGATTGTGCAGGGATGTGATGAAAGGGGGCCGAGGAGAGGACGCCGAGGTGGGGAAGATCTAAGTGTGGGGTAAGAAGGAGAGAGGGAAATAATGGTCGGATCTACCTCAGCTACTTTTTAGATTAAGGTAAGGGTGTCAATAAATAAATCATAAATACATAAATAAATAAATACATAAATAAACAACAAAGGGGCGTTGGCAAAGGAGAAGAGTCACGAGAACGTGGCTTCCTGGGCACCAAGGGGACAGCGAACGTCCAGGAGGAGTCAGTGTAGAGCCAAGCAGTGCAAAAAGCTTGGTGATGAGAAAGGGCTTTTGACGTGGCAGCTGAGTCTCTGGTCCCAGGAGCATGGGGGCCACGAGGGGGTCGAAAGGAAAGGCGGTGCCAGCACCAGAAAGCCCCCCACCCCCAGGTCTGGTGGTGAAGGGACGAGCCACAGCAGCCAGGACGGGTGGAATGAGTGCCTGTTGGTGGAAAGAGAGGACAGAGGCAGCAGAGTGGCTGAGGACCGGTGAGAGGATGAATGCCGTTTCCCCGGAAGTGAAAGGGGAGGGGAGAGATCAAGAGATTTTGAGGAGAGACTGCATTTCAGATGATCCCACCTCTTCACTGAAGGAGGAGGCTGACGGTAGGGGTCATTTGGGGGTTTGAGGCAAATGGAGAAGATCTGAGGGTCTTCAGGGTGGGTGATGATGGGGTGACTGGGGATTGACTGATGGTCAAAAGGAGGTTGGCTGACGGAGCACCTGCGCCCGGAGGCCTGTGGCCACTGTTATTACAAGGCAGCAGATCAGGGTACCGGGTACCAGGTACAGGCCGGGACTCCGTGGGGCTGCCCCAGACTAGCTGGGCTGCGTCAGAGGCTACAGAGGAACCTCAGGCAAGTTGAGCTCTAAATAGGAGAAAAGGACAGGCTGCCTCCTGATCATGGTGCCCAGATGGAGAGGGCGAGGGGGGAAGGGAAGCCGAGGTCTCTGGAACTCACGCCATCACGGGGCCAAAGTGTTTTGGCAGTACAGGACGTGCGGGTTGGGAATGGTGATGTGTGGATTGTCTTGGGTCCCCAGCCTTCTCTGGAGAGAACCCAGAGGCAGGTTTTAAGAGTTCCTTCCCTTTCCACTCCATCAATTTCAGTTTAAGGAACAAAGACCAAGAAGAGACAGAAAGAAAACAGTGTTTTTCAAAGAGCTCTGGCCCCTTTACTCCCCTGCAGGTGGGCACTGGCAGGTACGTGGGATGCAGGGCCAACTCCAAGATCTGACATCGGGTTCCTCTCTGCACTCACCACTGGAACCTTCTGGAACCCAAGGCCTTAGCTAATCCACTGAGGCCCCACTGGCAATTTTGCCTGTTCCCCAGGGCACTGCGAGCTTCAACAATGAAATATCTTCCAAGGCCTCTGAGATTCTCAAGATGAAAGGCCCTGGAGAAGTGTAAAATGTGATACTAATTATTTCCACTTCTTGTGAGAAGTCCAAACCACTCTGTCCCCATAGAGCCAGTTAGGGCTGTTGCTTTTTTAAATATTAATTTTCTAATGCAAATCCCAAATCTCAGACTTCAAGCATCAACAAGAAGAACAACAAGGGAAGACACACAGAGACATAGTATCGTGATCTTGGTTTGGAACTGGAGCGTCCGCATGCAGGCTTAATAGGTTCTGAGCACCCTTCCACTGTCTCCACTGGCTTCCTGTCAGGCATTAATTTAGAGCAAATGTCCTGCTTGAATTGCCATTGATTAGTTATGTCATCTCATATGCTTGGGAGCGGATCTTGATCCCTTTTCTTAACCCCCTTCACCTTCAATATAATGTTTTTTGACTTATCTTTCAAATATATTTTAAAACACCGTTATTTATCAGGCAAGGGAATGAATCTAACAAATCAAGCTGGCTAATGCTTGTCTACATGTGACATGTCATTCCAGCCCCTAAATTATCGGCATCAAGCCCAGGTTTCCCTGGGGAGAGTATGTCCAGTATTTGGATACTACATTTGGCTTTGGGTTTTGAAAAAAAGTCTTAACTCTTAATCTTAATGGGGGGAAAAGGATTTTGCCAAATTCTAAAATCACTGCCTCTGTGAAAAGAAGGAGGTGGGGATGGACATTGGAAACTCTCCCCACAGAGCTGAAAACCTCAGTGTTGGAGCTCAGTGCCGGCAAGTGCTGGCAAGTGTGACGATCAGGGTAGGAAAGTGACAAGAAAGTGACATTGACACAGCAGTCTGGCTGCAGAGACACCCCCCCACCCCGCCCTGGAGTGCAGGATGCAGAAAGCAAACACAGTGGCTGTAGAGAAATGGAGCTCGATGCTTAACATTCTTCCACACTCTGGGGCTCCTGAGGCACCCAGGAAGGCAATCATATATATTTTAAAGGGATGACATTTATCTTTGCGGTACCCTTTCAAGCTTTTGCGGCGGCTTCCCTGGAGGCAGAAGGGAATAGCACAGCCCTTCCTGTGACATTCTAACAGAGCAGGAAGGAGGCTAACCCTGAGGATGAAAGCCCAGGGTCCCTTCCTCTTTGACAACTCAAGTGGCTTTAAAGAACAACCACCACATTTGGGACACTCTTTTGCCTTATTTGGGGCTGGAGTGCTGACTCTTAGTAGGAAGCTGCGATTTTTCAAAAACACGATTTGGAACACCCTAGCAATTTAGTGTCATCTGCCTGCTTGGTCCCAGGTTCTTGGGGGTTCTTGCAAAGCCAGAATAGGACCTGTCCACTGTCTTCTCCAGCCTTCTCTCCAGAGCTATGGAGGCTGGTCTGGGACAGGTGGGTCAACTGTGGTTCGTCCTGTGGGCAGTTCAACTCTAAGTTCATGGAACCAAGTCCTCAGCTCTGACGTGGCCTCTGCTCCTTTTGGTGACCTTGTGCTCCTTGGCTGGGCTGAATGTTCCAACCTCCCTCTTCCTGGGAACAGCACCATTTTAGACTTGGGTCAAGTTGTCCCCTCTGGTGTTGGCTCACCCAGAATCCACATTTCTCAGAGGCTCGGGGCAGCTGCCAACAAGTGGTTCTCCAATCATCCATAAGCCCAAAGATCCCTCCAACTTGGGAGGCAGTCATCCAGTCATGGGACTGACATCTCTTCCTGTCAAGTCCTTCTGCCCCCAAAGATGCTCTGAGTCTCAATCTGATCCAGGTGGGTTCTCCACACCTTCTTCCTGTGGCTTATCTGCCTAACGCTAGATGAACACCACACAGTTATAAATACTCAGGTCAATATATATATGCAGGTATAGATATATATATTCTGGTCACTGTTTTACACTTGAACAAAGAAAACCACTAGCCTGCTTGTTCTAGAGTTTGTGCCACCCCGACTCCCATCTGCCTGTGGTGTAGCTGGCAGGAAATGTGAGCCACTGAGTCCCACAGGGCGCTCACCTTACGTGGCCCCGTCGCACTGGCCGACAGTCAGTTTCAAAGCCCCCTGCTCGTGCAGGTTCTTCAGGGCCTTGAACTCCAAGGGCATGGTATGGGGACCGGCCTGGGAAGTGTAGCCGTACTTGAGGCTGTCGTAATAGTGGTACTTGACGGGGTTCTGGTTCTGATCTAGCGGAAAGGGCCAGAAGCCATAGAGGTAGATCTGGTTGCAGAAACGCGTGGCCAGGGTGTACATCAAGAGGCCCGTGGTGGGTCTTTTGATGTGAACTTTGTTAGTCAGCCAGTATCTGGGGAACAAGAAAAAAAAAGAAAGTGAAACAAAGAAACAAAAAAGAAACCTGAGTTTGCGAATTATCCTTTCCAGGAAGGGGAAGATTTTGTCCTGGGCCACAGCCTGCCGCCTGCTGAGGACATGAGGTTCAGCGATGAAAGGGGCTTGCCCAGGTTCACCTGGGTAGAAAGGGCATGACCTTGACTTGAGCTCAGGCTGGTTGAAACCTAAAGCAGGGTCTGGCAAACGTTTTCTGTAAAGGGCCAGGTGGCAACAATGGCTGGCTTTGCGGCCATACTCCTGGCCTCTGCCATTGTAGCCCGAGAGCGCCACGGACAACACACACGGGTGTGGCTGCGCCATAGTTTGCCAACCCTGATAAAGGGCCGCCTCTTGCATGGTGCCCACTGCCTATTGCCACACCTGACTCTGGCAGGGGTTGACCTCCTTGCCTCCTAAGCATCATCAGAATTCTTTCCCATCCCTGCCCACAGGCCCCACCCCCACCCCCTTCCGCCTCTGATGCAGGCTGCCCATCTCTCAGCATACGTGGCTTCCCTGGAGGGCAGAGGGAGCAGCAAACAGCGGCCTTCCCTGTGAGGCTGGGTTCTGCAAAGGAATCTGTCGGAAGTGTGAGAGGAAACACTGGGCGGGGGCAGGGCGGGGAGAGCAGAGCTTTAGGCTAAGGGCTTCCTGTGTTGAGTGAGGTGCTGAGCTACCTTTGTACATAGAGGGCCTTGGTTTACCTTAATCGAGAAAGAAGTGAGGAAGAAACCATCTTCATTTCACAGGCTAAGCAACAGAGGTTGAGAGGTGGTTTCAGTGACAGTTCTGTCTACAACTACCGGTGTGCCTTTGAGCAAGTTGCTTCTCCCTGCTGGACCCACTTTTTCACATTTATGCAACGATGGGGCACAGACCAAGGGATTGCCAAGACAGCCTCCAAGTTCCACCACAATCCAGAAGTGTCTTCAGAAGTGGGAAAATAGACACTCTCTTTGCCATCATTTTTATTTTCCATCATGGTTTTTCTCCTGCTTGGATTTAGAACCCACTGGGACGCGTGGTCCAACCTCTTTATTTCTAGTAAAACCTTCCACGTACCCAATGCTGAATCCTTTTAGATGTAACGTGTATGCCTTGGTGGAAAGCCGTACTTCCCTATCACAAAGTCCTTACTACTGTGTCTCCACCAGACAGTGTCCGTGGTTTTCTGTACTCAAACACACTCTGTGGGACCCCATCCCACGAGCTCCCATTTGCTGCTGTGAAAAACACCCACCCCCCCGTCGGAAGCACAGGCCAACGACGTTCCCCGCGGCACCTCGGCACAGTGATGCCCAAGACTATAAAGTCACACGTGTCAGTGAAATTCATGCCGGAAGGTAAAACGATGCTGGACAGAACGCTTACATATTGCTGAAAGTTACAAGTGTTTTACATTATTAACAGTGCTTCTAGCTCAAAGTTTGTGGGCAGCTTCTCTAGAAGCCCAAGTACACCCTTTTGCAAGAGGCTCCTTCTGCAGCTCCAAACTAGGAACCCCCGAACATTTCAGAGACTCAAGCTTAAATCCTTTAGCTTTTGGGGGAGGCATTAGCCTTTGTATCAGACAAGGTTATAGATTCCTAATAACCCATATAATTTCAGTAAATCATATACTATTGGATATAATAAAACTTATTTCAAGGCTCCCTCCCACCCCATCCTGTCTGTCAGGCCAGGGTGATCTGAATTTCCCCCCTAACATTGATGATGGAGTCTGTGGTCCCCAACGGCCGGAATCAGAGTGAACATGATTCTTCTGGGCTCTGCATGTGGCCCACTTTCACAACGGCTCTTGTTTCATAAGCCTGTCAGTTGAAGGCCCCTTCCTTTGTAACCTCTCCTTTTTCATCTTGTCTGGGCCAAGAAACTTCCCTGCAGCTGAATTTTCCGACCTGGAATCAGACAGAGAGGCAGAGGCAGAGGACAGAAGAATGGCTCTAGTAACTGCAAACACAATACAAAAAATAATAGGAAAAGAGTTGGCGGACATACCACAGAACTTCATCATTTCTGTCCTGCATGGTTGAGAAGTTTCATCCCAGCTGATATGTAGGAGGCATGGTGCTGGCTCAGGGGGGTGCTTGATGCTGAGACTGGGGCTTATTAGATAGGGAGCCCTTCCTTAGACTACCTCAATACTCTATACGCTCAGTGGGGTTGAGCTGAGCTTGGGAGGACCCTGGAGGTTGAAGGCAGGAAGAGTGCATGGAGGAGAAGAATTCAGAAGAGCAGCAGCTGACATCTCGGCTTAACTACATCTAATCATGGGGAGCTCACCCCCTCTTGAGCTACTCCATTGCACTTTCAGCTTTAACTTAATGGTTCTCAACCTAGGCTGCCCCTGCCTGGAGCTTTAAGAGGACCCATCCTGGGTCCCACATCCAGATGCAGCCTGGACGCTGGGATTTTTAAAACCTCCCCCAGTAATTCAAATGTGCAGCCAAGGCTAAGAAGCCCTGCTCTAACTGGTAGGTGGTTCTGCCAAAAGAACCTAAGAACGAGACTTATTTAGAGAAAAGAGGGGGAAAAAGTAAGCATAAGGGATAGTCATCGAGTTTTAAAGACAGTTGGGCCTGGAGAACTCATCTAGCTCAGCGGTCTGGCAGGGGATATAGCTGAGCGAGCTGGGAGTTGGGACATGTGTGTAAGGAAAACTGACACTGGCCTCTGTGTTGCCAAGGCAATAGGGAGTGGGGGGTACTGTGGCATCTAAAGGGGCAGCTGGTTTTATTGTTGTCTTGTATGGTCATGTAAGATTTTCTGATTTTTTCAAAGGTATCAGAAATCTGGATTTTAACACAAATTCTCCAAATTTTTAAATGTTGGCAACTACTTAAAAAAAGTTTTTTTAAAATCTGGTGAGTCCCTATTGGGTGAGTTAACAGACCATATCTATGGGTAATCCACGGTTCTCCTGGATTGAACTTGTCCTCTTCTTTCAATTTACAGAGGAAAAAGTGAGAATCCAGGGTGACTTGCCAGAGAAGAGGCAAACCTCTCACACAGCTGGTCAGATAGAGCTTGGATAAAATGCAGCCTCCCCACTCCTGGTTCTTGGGCTTTTTTCACTCCATAGTGATTCTGGGGGGTGGGGGCGTTGTCGGGGTTGGGGATGAGCTGGCTGCAGCTGCTGTTCACACTGTCCAGGGACACATGAGCCACGGGCTGTGTCCCCTCATGAGACCATCTCAAAGACTGTTCACTCCCTGAGAAATTCAAGCCCGAACAACGGCCACATGACAGATTAGGGATTTGCGGTTTGTTTATTTTCTGATTGTAAGGGCTTAGCAGAGTAAGGCTTTCAGAAATAAATTTCTTTTCAAGCCATTGATGCTCTGCCCAGAGAGAGGCAGTGAAGAATTGAATCAGTGGGGAAACGTCCAAGTAGCTCATAGGCGGGTCTGAGTTTACCCAGACAAGTGCAGTGCCCTCCCCGTAGATGTGCCTTTCCCCTACATGTCCTCTTGGTGAACTCTCTTTTTTTTTTCCCCTCAAACTGAGCACGTGAATCACGTCTTCCTGGAAATGCTCCCTTTGTTCCACTCTCTTCTCAGCTCAAACTGAATTAGTCATTCCCCCTTATTATTATGAGTTTTGTTTCCATGGATCCTATTGTGCTTATCAACCCGAGCTGATCCTTCATCACTGTATGGGTTGGACTCCCACTTGAAACGGTACTGTGATCTCCCCAAGAGCAGAGGCCATGCCTTACACTCCTTTGTGGGGTCATCAGAGGCACCTGGCTCAGTGTGTGGTGCAGCCAAGGCACTATGGCAGAGACGGCATCGCTCAACCAATCCTCCATGGGCTTGCCTATATCTCTCAGCATCCCTTGTAAATGAGCTGGGGTCACATGACCAGTTCTGGCCAATAGACTGCAATAGGAAATGGTCCCTGCTGGACCAACTGTTCCCCAAGAGCTTACTCCTGCCTTGGAGAACCTCAGTGCCTCCTGGAAAGATGATGTCAGCCTAAGATGAAAGAAGCCTAAATCCTAGAATCACTGGTTGGAAGACAGCTCCAACCAACCTACATCACACTTTGCGAGGATGAGAAATAAACTTCTGTTGTGCTAAATCACAAGGGTTTCAGGGATTGTTATTGTAACATAAACTAGAATTGATTATCCTGGCTTCCATGGCGCTCGGCAACTTTGGACTTAAATGGAATTGAAAAATGGGAAGAAGTAGAAAAGGAGAGAGGGGGAAGCTAGCAGTGCATGCAGCTTTGTGACTCTGGCCAGCTAAGACAGGAATAGAAACACCCAGCCTCTCAGATCTGCTGCCCAGAATCGCTCACTGCGAAAGGTGTTAACAGCAAAAGAGGCTCCGGAATGAATTGAGAGCTCAGTGGCAGGGAGGGACCCTCTCATTTCCGATTCTGCCTCTGTGGGTAAACAAGAGCTCCTGAGTGAGGTCTGACAGGGACACGGGGACACCGTTTAATGAGCAGCTTGTTCTAGAAGCTGACAGTTATGCGGGAACAAATCACTCTCCATTTCCTTTATCGCTCCTCAGTCGCCCTGGCCAATTTAGAGACTGTGTGCATGGCCGACTTGTAGACGATTTCTTTCCTTGAGATAACAGCTGGGTGTTAAAACACAAACTAATTAATTTTGCCTTCCTAAACGAGGTTAGCTGGGTGCATCCAGGATGCTGTATTGACAATGCACCTTTAATATCCCAGTCTGGAGGCTTTAATTAGAAGGCAAAGTCATCTCCAAAAAGGCAGTAATTATTTTTCAAATTCGTTACCCCAATTGCCAAGACAATTAAGTGGCATATTTTATGAGCATGGACGGAAATAAACGAAGATTGCCAAAATCATCACCAAAGCACACTTGTCCTTCTCCCTGGATTCCTCTGCTTGGTATGTGGCAAGCATGGTGGCTGCCATGGTCGGAAAAAGTGACCAAAGGGGCTTTCTCTAAGAAGCTGAAAGCACTTTGTGGGATATAGCTCATATCAT